TAACCAATTAAATTTCTTTCTCTTTCCAGCTGGACTTGCAGCTGCAAGACGAGGCCGGTGGTGACATTTCAAGTTTCATAACGAACGGCGAATGGGATCTGCTAGGTATGGCAGCGGTGGCTTGAAAATAAAAGAAAGGCATTTCATAAAAAGTTTTCTAGCAAATTTAAATTCCGCAAATTCTAAAAATATTTAACTAATAACATCTAACTAACTCACAGCTTATAAATCGAAAAATGGTTATAATTTATTCTTTTGCTTTAACATATTTTTTGCTCATAATATTTAAATAAATTGTGTATTAATAACAAGCCTCACCAAAAAAAAAACAACAACAACAAAACAGCCAACAAAATTCACTAGCAATTACTTATAAACATTTATATCATATATATACATACATACATATATTCATTATATACATACATATGTATTTTAAACTAATATCTTACTGCTGCTATCTAATGCGCCACTTTCTCTTTCTCTCTTTCCCTCTCTCCAAAAAAAAAAAAACAAAAAACCAACTACTAAAACTAAATAAAACAATCCTCTCTTTCTCTTTGCATTCTCACCGTCAACGTAACACGTCCATTCTCTTTGCAGGCGTGCCCGGTAAACGAAATGAAATCTACTATAATTGCTGCCCAGAACCTTATATTGACATAACGTTCGCCATTTTAATACGACGGAAAACTTTGTACTATTTTTTTAACCTAATTGTGCCGTGCGTACTGATAGCCTCAATGGCACTGCTAGGCTTCACACTGCCCCCCGATTCTGGTGAGAAGCTCTCGCTAGGTAAGTGTCGTATGTCCGCACGCGTAGTGCTACCAGCACAAAAATAAAAACAAAAAAAACAGTCGAATTAAATTAAATGCAAAATTATTAGACCTTCAAATTTCAATGAAAATAGAATTTTAAAGAATGTTACAACAATTTGAATTGAGTTTCGCATTCGCCAAATGAAATTAATCCCAACCCGCTCAACCTGAGGTCCAAATTTTTTTTGGACAATTTTTTCATAGCTGCCTTACGAGAACTGCATGTGCCTTCCAATGAATATAACAGTCAGCTCCTCATTTTTTTTGGAACTGTTTTTTTAATAACTGAAGACAAATTTAGTTCAAAAATTAAGATACAATTTTTGGTACATCGTTTTTTGCTTCATGTCCACAACTTTTTGGCAATGGCAAAGTATATGGCGGCACATGTTTTTTCTTAGAGTTTATATTTGCAATGGAAATAACGGAATTATCTCTTGCATAAGTTCCACGAGCAGCAGTTGCTGCCATTGTCGCCTTATTTAACAGCGCATCAAGTGAGTCTGTTAGCAAAGTTTTTGGGGATTTTCATATTTATCTCAAATTAATGATGTCTAAACGTGCTACAATTCAAAGCTCTTTGCAATCCACAATGCACATAAGCGTGGAAAATAAGTCTCAAAAAAAAAATTTTTTAGCATAATCAATTCGCATTTGCGCCAAAGCAAAAACACACTAAAAATAGAACATACCATGGCCACTTCCTTTAAAGAAAAGAAGAAAAGAAAAATTACTACTTTCTGGAAAAAAGTGAAAATTCTGTCGCCTACGTGACATGAAAATCCCGAACGTTAAGAAATGCATTCGTGCCGACCACGCTGCGCAGTCTGCTCCCGCCCACGCAGCAGGGGTTTTTGGGGCAAATTATACTGTCGCCATCACAAGCGAAGTTGTCACAAAATTATGATAAATGTAACATTAAATTCAATTTAAGAGCCTCAAGCGAAATGCGAAAGTGAAAAGGAAACGAAAGGAGTGGGGTGCAGACGAAAAGTAAGTAAGCTGCATCACTAAAAAAAAAGCGTTGTAAAATCAGCGAGAAGAGCAAAAAAAAAACAAGAATCTGTTACGAGCTCTTGACGACGTCAGCAAATGGGAACGCCATAAAATGCCATCACTTGTAATCAATGTCAACAACAGCAACGTACTATGTAGCTCGCACAGCAGCTACATAGAACTTGCAGCCATAGCATAGCAACAAATACGAAATAGTGCATAGCAATCGTTGACAGCCAGCCCGACAAATCGTCATCAACTGACACAAGTAATTCAAAACAGTAGCTGCAATGGGTGCGCTTCAAAAGAAATCCATCAGCGTGCGTGCGTAAATACAGCGAAAGCATCCAGTAACCTTGACCTACAAAACACCAACGGCTAAATTCGAGAAAAAAAAAATACTAAAAAATATTAAAATACTTTTCATTGGAGTATGCAGCTGTCGTGGCTTTGAAAGGAACCTACACACAAAAGCAAAATGAGGAAATAAACGGCGCGCGAAGTTTGTTTGCTTTGCCATGCCGCAAAAGAGGTGGGGCAAGTGCTGCAATGTGGTAGCAACCAGAGAGCAGCAAGAAGAGGAAGCGCAGCATTTGCATGCGAGTTTAATGAGTGGAGCTTCGCAGCAAGAGTAGAAGACTCAAAGGCATTCTACATAACATGGTTCGTCTGAATTTTATTATTTAGTTAGTTAGTTGCCAAGCGTCGAGCTTATTTAGGTGCCTTGATTTGATTGAAAACAGCGACTCTTATAAAGAGCCCACAAGCAAATATTTAGGCAAATCCTTGATATTTGGCCATACAATGCAAACCATCTATTTATCGTCTTCAAAGCCGCACGAAAAAGAATTACCTATACACCGCACAGTGGTACAGCTCCAGACAATTTTCGGTAAAAATTAGAGGTAGTCGGCGTAGAACCAAAAATTTCCGTTTGCAACATTTATGGAAATATGTAAATCAAGAAAAACACGAAGTTTGCATGATCGATGTATTCTAAAGCATACCTCCCATACATACCTTAACCTCAAAAACGTCTTAAAAATGCCATGAAAGGCGCACCGATCAATATCGATCGATGACATAAAGTAGCTTGCGGCGATCGATATGAAAAATGGTACGGTCTCCATATGAAAGAACCATATTCGAGCCTAGATGTTACCAGAAGGATAAAGGTTAGCACGGAATACGAATTTGAAACAATTTATTTAATAGAAGTGGAGAAAATCAGTTTCGTGTCGAAGTAGGCAGAGATGTGGAGGAACAGGTGAGTCCGCATACACCAAGAATAAAGTCAATCAAGTTTCGCTTGAAGAACACTGTAGTCATTAAAGTTTTTAATAACAGTGTATAGCTCGAGGTCATCTGCTTATAGAAGATGACGGAAGCGGAACCCGATATAATTCATAAAATACGATAAATAGCGACTGCTGCAATATCCCACCTTGAGGAACACCACATGTCGCACAGAGTCTGTTAGATAGGCATGATTTTGAACACTCAAGAAAAGTCGAGTGAAAACCTAAACTAACCAAATTAAAAATTAAGACCTTGTGTGGCGTTCTTTCGATATCCTTCCTGAGAGACAACAGGAAAATATTTGTAGAGATTAATGTAGTTGAAGATTTTTTTATGTCATTCTGCACAGCGTTGTAAGATTTCAAGTTTCGACGTGGCGTCTTATAAGCAGCTGTCTTTGAAATCGATAAAATCGGACTTTTTCGCTAAGCGTCCTTTTGCACGCTGGCCTGACTAGTCGGAAACCACATTTGTAAGAAACAATCATGGACTCATTCACGAAATATATATCGTCGAAAGTAACTTATGTGCAAAGTTCATCAAGCTTATTATGCAAATTTCAGAATCTTCCATCTAATGAATTCATCGACAAACATTGGAATTCCAATCTGGCCGTCTCCTTGTGCGCTTCGCCTCTACTGGTACCCATGTGGCATTGGAATAGTTTTTAGAGTGAATACGAATCCCTATTTCGAAAAGAGATACTGACAAAGAAAATATCTATGTACATATATACTATACATACATGCATCTCATTTTTGCAAATGCGTTTTCAAATAAATTTTTTCTAACAAGCTAAGTACATTACATAGATAAGAAGGATAGCCCGACCATGCATTTCATATATGGTAGCTTTTGCACTTCGCTGCCCTAAACCTCCAATTTTTTTGTGTGGTGCTCCATATTATCCACAACGTTTTTTACTTTTGCTTGGGTCATGCGGCTTTTAAAAGGTTCTTACATATGTATCTAGGTAAGAACATAAAAAGGGTTGCCACCTATTAAAAAATTTAATTCGATTAAATAAATAATTTCCCATTGGTATCAACCAATATGGATTTGAAAAGGCTTTATTTCTAAACTACATGTAGGAGGGTTGCCACCTGTTTAAAATATCAACTTAGACTTGAGTGGCATAATTGACATATGTATGTATGACAGTACGCTTGTCAGGCGAAAGAGGTTTAATAGCGTTGTTGTTTGAGAATATCTTAAAGAGAGTTGCCACCTTTATAAGAAATTTAATTCAAATTATTTAATAACTTAAATTAATTATTACGATATGGGTATGAATCGAATAGGTTTTTAAAAGGCTTTATTTCTAAACTACATGTAGGAGAGTTGCCACCTCTTTAAAATATCAACTTAGACTTGAGTTGCATAATTGACGTATGTAAAACAGTACGCTCGTCAGGCGAAAGAGGTTTAATAACGTTGTTGTTTGAGAATATCTTAAAGAGAGTTGCCACCTTTATACGAAATTTAATTCAAATAATTTAATAATTTAAATGAATTATTGCGATATGGTTATGAATCGAATAGGTTTTGAAAAGTCTTAATTTCCAAACTACTTATAATGGTGTTGCCGCCTGTTCAAAACTACTAAGAGAGAGTAATTCTTCTTAACATTTAAAGACAAACAAAATGAATTCGACAAACAAAATGAATGAAATTCGCCTTTCGACATGCATGTTCATGTTCAAAGAATACAAACAAGCAGAAAATATAAAATTTAAAAACTTATGAAAAACGGATGATTGAAACTTCTCGGCAACAAAAGACTTCTGCTAAATTTATGGGTAAATGCACATACTACCTTTGCTCTTAGTTCAAAACTCGTAACGACATGAAAAGCGCACGAAAAGCTTTCACACTAATGTATACAAAAATAATAAAAGCGCACTAAGTGAAAAAATACAGCAGCTGAACGCAAAATAACTGTCTACAAAGAATTTTGTTTTCTTTCTAAGTTCAAAGTACATCTTAGTGAACATAGAAAAATTTGCATGGCAAGTGCAATCGGATGCGAATTCGCCACACCACCTGCACACCAACGCACGAACAAGGCGCTAAGCATAAAATGTAACGCAACAGCAGGTGCCACACGCAGCGAATAAATAGCATTGCCGTATGCCTTAAGCAACACATGTTGCGGCCGGGAGGGTGTGAATTTGCTAATACGCTTCGCACTTCGCACTTCGTACTTTGCAATCTACATAAAAAAAAGCGAAAATATGCCAAAATGTCGTATCAATTTTTTGCTATGTTTGGAGAAAAAAAATGCAAATTTATGCAAATGGTTCTTCACAAAATGCAAACAGCTGAAAATATGCCGCAATATACTTTGCCATTCACCAAGTCTCTTTCACTTTAACCATTTGACCCCCACCGCCGCCGCCCACAACCTCACCTCATTCCCACTCGTAATCGACGCATGCAAATTTGTGAACCCTGCTGAAAGTAGTAAATAAATGAATTGAAAATTTTTATGATGAATAGCCAATAAATGTTCCAAATTATGATTGATATCGTTGTGTGATGAAATGCCAACATAAACAAAACAACAACAACAAACAATCAAACATAACAATAACTATAAAGAAAACATAGTTTTACTATACACATACCACTGACTATTGATGACTGATGATGTGACAGTAGTGACAGTAGTGATACGTTGACGATTTGACAGGTTGACGGGGTGCATTGAGGTTCAGCGCAGAAAATATGGTAGTAGTTTTTTATTTGTACAACATTGAGATGAGATGAGCAGATAAATAAACAGACAGCAACAATACTAATGCAACAATACTAATGCAACACCATAACAGCCACAGCCAATAAAATGTAGAGCCCAGCAGCAGCACATCAGCCGCACTGACAAGTGGAACCGCAAAGCGTTGGCCGCGCAGCTGACCACTCCTTTGGAATAGCTACATACATACATATGTATGTATATATTAAATTGGTTATTGGGGCCATAAAACGCAAGCACAGCTTTACTGCAACAACAACAAGAATAACAATAACAACTAAAACAACAACAACAACACTCGTACACACCATATCAATAAAGAAAACCGATGCTAACTTCCGTACCACATGTATCTAACTACTACTAGCGTAATACATATATGTACTATAGTTAAATCCAAAGATTTAAAAAAAAAGTTTGTTAAAAAAAGCGTGCTGTAATTTTTTAAATTATTTATAAATTTTTTGTGATTTCTCAAGTGTTTCTTTAAAAACTTATTTTAGCTGATTTGGTTTCTCTTTCTATAAAAAAAAAACAAAAATCGTGTGTTGCAGGAGTTACAATTCTACTATCGCTAACTGTCTTCCTCAACATGGTGGCCGAAACGATGCCAGCGACCTCAGATGCAGTGCCGCTCCTAGGTAAGTTGGAGGGTGTTCAAATAAGAGGTTTATTATTATTTTTTTTTTCTTTAAAAGTTTTATGTAATTCAAATAAAAATAGCTAAACTTGTAAGCTTTGTGACTAAAGCGAATTCTTCGGCATGCTCAGGCATGCTCAAGTTCAGTGCGCCACACCATTAAAATGAGTGTAAGTAGGATTTCTCTAAGTTCCAAAAACAGATGTTGGTTCCAGTGTAAACGAAAAACAGTCGCAGTGGGCTGAATGAGGGAGCAATTCGTTCGTGGGTAGTTACTTTGTGATTGGGTATAAGAAAACAAAAGACACCGCGACCTGAAATATTTTTGCCAAGTGTGCCCAAGATGAATTCTAAAAGGGCCTTGGTAGCCAAATTTTTTATAACAAAGTGTTCGACCATTGGAGCTTCAAAATGATTAAATCTTTGTCTGTCCAAAGCCGGACAGTGACAGGGAATACGTTTTGAAGTTTCATCAACTTCAAAGCAGAGCCGGAATTTCGACTCGGTGATCACACCTATTCGGTACAGGTGAAATCGCAGTCAGCTGTAATCAGTCAGGTGGGCAGAAAGTAGGCTGTTGTTATTTTCATTTTTTTTTTTAATAATATCCACTCCATTATAAGTGTAGACGAAAAGGGTGTATATGGCCTCTCACTGCTCCCCGGTACTTATTGGGTTCTGGGTGTGTCCACTAAGTAATTATGGCTAATGGGTACTTGTGCCTCTGCATAACCTACAATCAAGTTGAATTTGCAAGCAATCGTTAACAAGGGCCCAAGGCAAGGCTTTACCAGGATTCCCCTTCACTTCTTCACAATTTCAAATGCCTTACCTAAAACAATAAAATAAAAATGTTAGAAAAAGGAGTTTGGAAAACTGTCTAACCTTTCGGTACTTCAAATAGTCTCCGCAACTTAATGTTAGACAATGAGAAGTTGGGTTAATATTAAACTGTTGCTCTGTTGGCTTTTGCTAAAAAGAGTTTGCTTACATCTTAATTACTTTTAAACTAATTTCATACAAAGAAGCCTACACTCACACATTTGATTACTCAAACACCTGTCTCCTTCCCGCAAAACAACCGTTCACAACTGAGTGCGACTAACAATCGGTACTCATACCTCAATAGCTCCTTTGAGACTTTTCCAATTAATTTCGAATTTGGTCTCGACTCTTCGAACTTTGCCGTAATAAATACGTACCAAATTCGTTCGTTCGTTGCTATGTCAGATTTCTTAACTTACAAAAACATTTGTCAGGCGTGAATGAGTTTGTTGCCGCACCGGAAGTTACCTGCGTGCTGAACTTGAGCAAGTTTTCTATGCATTGTTTTTTTTTTGTCTTTTTGTTCTCTTTTTGTGCCGGTAAAAAAGGTTTTGACCTACGTAAAAGTTTTCTTCTTTGGCTGGGCGGTATTTATGAGTAAAAACTTATTGATGACGAGTTTGGTACGAGTAAGTTGCTAGGACGTGCTTCAAGAAACAAGCTATTAGGGCGGGGCAAAGAATAACAGAACGGGGCTGCGTGCTTTGGTGAAATTATGGATAGGAAGGATTTATTTGCGAAGCTATTTGCTAAGCAAAATTATTTTTTATATTGCGTTTTTTTCAACCTTTAAGTGGCGTTTAATACAACTTTTTAAAGGTAGAGGTAATAAATAAATATGTAAATTGACATTTTGAGAGAAATATGCGAGAGAAGTATTACCTATCATAAAAAAAAATAAAAGATGTGTAAGCGCGTAAATGCAAAGTTTCTCAGATTTAGGTACAAATTTAACAGAGAGCAGCATGGGTGGAATGAAAAACACTCCTTTCATTTTCATGCAAATAATCTCTACTACACTGTTTTCAATAAAAAAAAAACATTAAAAGAAAACTACACATCTCCGAAGAAACTTCGAAAACACCCGAAAGGATCCAAAATTTGCCGAAATATTCCAAAAAGATCCTGAAAATATACAGTACAGTTCCTCTTGAAGAAATGCAAAAAATTTCGAAAATTTTGACAAACCCAAAAACGCTCTTGAATACCTCCAAAAAGGTACGAAAAATCATGTATTATTTTTAAATATCTTACAAAACCACCACAGAAATTTCAGAAAATTCAGAAAAAAGTATTCCGAAAAATCCAATGAAAAAGCAAAAAACCTCGGAAAAAATACCGAAAATTCTCAAAAATTATCAAAATACCTTGACAGCTCACGAAAAGTTTTTAGGAATTCCCAAAAAATAATATTCTGAATTACTCATAAATATCCTAAGAAAAGCAAAAGATTTCGAAAAGACATGAAAATTTTCAAAAACTGCCGAAACACACAGACAATTCGGAAAAATATCTAAATAAATGTCGAAAAGTTCTAAAAAATCTAGAATATTTTTTAAAAACATAAAGTAATGCTTAGACAAATTTTAAAAAGTCTTGAAAACCTTCGAAAAAAATTAGCGAAAAAGTTTTGAAATTTTCTTAATGCATACAGTCAGTCAATAAAGTTTAGGTACAGCGAATTTTTTACAATACGGCAACTATTTTTTAAATATTTTATTTTCAAATAATTTTTTATAAAAATATGGTTAATTCTATAACAAAAAACTTAAAAATCAGAGTTCCAAACCTTGTGCAAAATTCAAGAAAATTCTGCGAAATTTCATTCAAATATTGCACTTTTTATTTACGCTCTCTAGAAAAAAGTTGAGTATGCAGTTTTTTAGCCCATTCAATTTTAGTATAACAAAGTGCAAGTTTGAGGTAGCTACGAATTACCATTGATTTTTAGCAATTTTTTTGTTGAAGGTGTCGCTCATATTAAACAATATTTGATAATTTTTTTAAATGGAAAAAATGTGCGACACCTTCAACAAAAAAATTGCTAAAAATCAATGGTAATTCGTAGCTTCCTCATACTTGCACGTTATTATACTAAAATTGAATGGGCTAAAAAACTGCATACTCAACTTTTTTCTAGAGAGCGTAAATAAGTGCAATATTTGAATGAAATTCTGCAGAATTTTCTTTAATTTTGCACAAGGCTTGAAACTTTGATTTTGGGGTTTTTGTTGTTGGTATTTTTATAAAAAAAAATAGCGAAAAATAAAATATTTAAAAAATAGTTGCCCGTATTGTAAAAAGTTCGCTGTAGCTAAACTTAATTGACTGAAAATCGGGAAAAATTCTGAATTATTCTGAATTATTCATCCCTAGTGCGAAAAGCGGAAGACGCCAGCCTCATTTTCTGCATCGTGCTCGAAAACTTCTTAACTCTCAGTCTCACCTTATACTTTCTGTGTATGAGAAAATGTGCATACCCATGCTGCTCTCTGGTACTTATATGTACATAAACATAACTGGAGATTAGACAAAAACAAACGCGTTTAAAAAGCGCAAAACTATTTTCGTTTCTCCCATTTTAGTTACATATGTACATATGTATCTTATCATACATACATACATATACATATGTATGATCGCAGAGGGCTGCGTATAGTCTTATATACATTCACTATTTTCTATATAGCATATATGTATACCTATACGAAAAAGACTGTAAATATGACACCTTAAAAGTAAAAATTACAATTAGTTATACTTTAGCCTACTTTCCTTTGCTCGCATCGTCAACAATTTTCATTTAAATCTTACATACGCTGCTGTATATAAGCAAATTTTATTTTTATAGACATTTAGTGAAGACCTTTTAGAACTGAATCGTGTGTAGTTTGGAATTATTTAGGTATCAAAGTCATTCCTTAGTTTTTGTACTTTCAACATTCATGACCTCAAAATCATATAAATAAATTAGTAAACAAAAAAAATAGCATTACTACAACATGCTCATTTTCGTGCATTTGTACATATACGTCCTTGCATTAGCGCATATAAGTCGTAAAATTTCAAATAAGTATCGAAATCCATAAAAAGCAATGTCGCCAACAACGCACGCATTTGGAGCAAATTCTGTGAATATATTTTTTGAAGTTCCTTTTGCTTTTATTATTTCTTCATGTGGTCGACGGCGCTTTTTTTGTTGCCACACAAATTCATATTTGCAACACTTTTCCACGCCCATACACATAGATAAATTAAAAAATAAAAAGTACTTTTTTTGTTGATTTTTTTTTTTTTAATTTGTAGAGGCTTTTACGTTGGTAGCACAAAGCTTTTGCCTCAGAAGACCCCTAGTAAAATTTTCCGGAGAGTAATTTCCGGAGTAGTACACCAGTCCTCTAACGACCTTTCAAATTTGCCTTTTGCGGGATTTATTGAAGTAAGGATCAAAATTACCTAATAGGTTAAAATGTTCTACGAAAATATTTCCCATGCAATTTTATTATATATGTTTTAACCTTTAATTTCGCTCAGACATATATTTTAACTATTTTTTTGAAAACTACTTAGGCGGAGACATGAAAACTTTAGTAGGCCATGAAATAACAATACGAGCTAACTTTCGCAAATCCACCAAGTGTTTTACTACTGGATGGGTATACTTTCAGAAAATGTTAACAAAGTCCGGGCTGGTTTGGGCTGTGCTACAGTGTAATTTGAGTTAAACTTTTTAAACAGGTGGCCAATCTCTTCAAGCTCCTCAAAAATATTGTAATTGCTGCATAGTAATTTAAGCACAACACTTCTTTAACTAAATTCGACTTTTCAAACAGGTGACACCACTCTTAAATGTAATTAAATAATAAAGTTTATTCAAAATCATTTCGATTGATACCTATATTGGGGTAATTTATTTAACTTTAATTTGATTTTGATTTTCTTACATACATTCATACGGCACAAAGCTAAAACCATATTACACATCTACAGGGCAAGCCCTTTCATTTGACACCTACCTCCTTTTTGAAAACCGAACGCACGATACAGATTTTAGGACATGGTGTTAAATATTTAACGCAAACATCTCCGACACGACTAAGAAGTTTCACTTCGAAAAATTTTTGGAAAATTTAAAAAAATTGGAATTAAATCGAATTTGCACCACGAAATTTCGAATCGAATAATCGAATGGTTGGGCAATGT